GATATATATCGCAAACATCGGATATAGTTGGCCGATCCTTATGATTACATCATAATAAAACCAATTAATTACAATAAAAAATCTAAAAAAAAGTCGCAAGCTTCTATCTTCAAAAATACGAAAGTTGATATTTCTACCAAATACCATTTCCGATCGTTCAGTTATATGTCAGCTATAAGATATAGTCAACCGAACGTTATGACATTTGGTAGATCGGATTAAATGACCAAAAATAGAATGTGTACCAAGTGCCAGCTTTCTATCAACAAAAAAAAAGAAAGTTGGGTCATTTCCGATTGTTCAGTTATATGGCAGCTATAGGATATAGTCGGCCGATCCTTATGAAATTTGGCATGTCGTATTATTTTGCCAAAAAGAGCTCTCGTGTCAAATTTGAACTCTCTAACTCTAAAAACACCAAAGTTATACCATTTCCGATCAATCAGTTATATGGCAGCTATAGGATATAGTCGGCCGATCCCGGCCGTTCCGACTTATATACTGCGTGCAAAGAAAAGAAGGGTGTGTGCAAAGTTTCAAGACGATAGCTTCAAAACTGAGAGACTAGTTCGCGTAGAAACAGACAGACAGACGGACAGACAAAACGGAAGAATTCTTGGATTCTTGTGTTAATCCTAATTAACAACCTGCTCAAGCTAAACATATGTATCAGTATACAAGTTAGACTTAAATAAATATAAACGTTACACAAAATAAAGGAAACGACGGCTATAGTCGAGGACGGCATACTTTTGCGCTTGGGGAAAAATAACCACTGCTGCCCCCTAATACTTCCTACGTCACTACTACCGATTCAGTAGGAAAACAGACTAAAAATTCTGTAACTGATTTTTGATTATTAGGTGTAGATTAGCCAGTGGAACAGTTTGATGCCAAAACATTTTTCAAAAACATTAACGAACTGGAGCTACGACCAGATTCCAATTTGGGGGTGGGAGTGGGTGGTCTTGTCAAAATTTTGTCACAAACTTGATCTGCGCGGATTCCATACGAGTCCAATTTTTAAATCGGATAGCTCTATGTCTCAATAAAGTCTCCGACATCCATGCGCTCAAAATTTTAACTCGTTTGAATGGAACGTGGCATATATATAGGTATATCTCCTCAAAAAACCGGCCATTTTGGATGAAATTTGTTTTTCAGATATAAGTGAACTATAGACGTAGTTTGGCATCAAACGTTTTGCAAAGATCCTTCCTGTACTGGCGCTAAAGAAATGGTTTATTTGTGGGAGCCATAAAAGATGTAAAAGCGGTTGGCATTAAATAATAGCGGTTGTACAGCGTTTTGTAAATTTGGGGAAAAATGTTATATCCTCAAATAATGAAAAAATATTTTTTTTATTTTTTTTACCAAAAAGAGCACAATTATTTTTAATTTTTTACTTTTTTTTATTATTTTTTATTTTAAAATTTAAACTGGTATTTTTGCTATTTTACGCCCTTAAATTTGCCACTACTGGTTTCCTTCACCTAAAAAGATAGCTTATTGTGACTGGAAAGTAATAAGACAAAATCTGGGAAGAGAGTTATTGGCAAAATCTTAGAATATGGCGCGTTGCTATAGAAATAGAATTGGTTGAAAGAGGTTGACCGATTGGTTGAAACGAGCTTTAGACTTGAGTTTCCGTAATGATTGAATTCGAACTTTTGCTTCTACTGTCTAAAACAGGGATGATTGCCAATGGAAACAATTACACAAAACAATCTGAAAAGGTAAAGCTCTCTTCTCAAACACTATTCGTTTGTCAGAAGATTCGATTAAATATATCTTTATGAAGCCACTTACAAACTGACTTTGCACTTGGGTAGTCAGAAAACGGTTGCCTAGTATAAGACATTGGATAGAGTAGTGCAAAGTTGATAGAGTATCTAGTGGTACAGTATAATTGTCGAATAGTTTAGGAAGAAAAGAAGGGAACTATCTAAGTTATTGAAACAAAAAGAATAAGAATATCTGTTCTTCCGATTTCATCCACTCTTTCATCATACTCTCTGTTACTGCTCCTGTAGGGTGCGCTGGCCACAAAAAGCGGGGCTATCATTAGTACCCCAACGCCGTAACATTTATGAAACCAATATGGTTGGATTTTGTTTCTGGAACATCCGGGAGAGGACAGCAAAGGCAGTAAAACGTGCGCCCCGGTTGAAGCAGTTGAATGGTAAAATCGAATCAATATTCGAGTTTTTAAGGCACCTATGTACAAGTATGGCCAGAGTTGGGGGATGAGCATCCGAGCAGCCGGATGTGGCGCCACTGCGTCTGTCCTCCCCAGTGAGTTTTTGTCTTTTGCTGTCGCCCATTTTAGAGGGAGTCACGCGCTGACTTGGCTCGTTTTTGGTTACATTTTACGAGTGTCTCCGACACGTTTACTTTTAGTGTAAAGCTCTGTCCGCGAACAAAGAGACTCCAGCTGAGGATCCCATGGCATGGACCGCCGGGTGAAAAGACAAGGAGCTGGCAGGGCATGGGTGGCAGGCCGAGGGCAGCCTGAATCCGCAGTAACTTTTATAGCTACTTGTTTTAGTTGTCAGACAATTGCGATTGGGCAAGAGCATGACAAAAATTCAAAACAATAAAAATTTCGCACATAAAATGTAACTTTCCGCCATATCCCTGCCCCTTCGAGGTACTGAATTCGAAACATTAAAAATCTAGCGATGTGGCCGAAAAAAAGCGGATTTCGCGTTGTGAGGGCCCAAATCCCAAAGATATTTTTGCTCGGCCTGTCTCCTTAGTGGCAAAAACGGCTTAGATGGTTGAATTCAACCGGACTTGGCTCAATATTAAATCAAGGGAGCCCTCCTACTTAATTTAATTATTTAAAGAAAAAAATACTGTAAAGGCCTCCAGGTTGCAAAGCCGGTGGAGCTGTACTTTTACTCAAGTTTATTATGCACCACAGATGGGTTGATGGTTCGAGTTCTCTTATAAAGTGTACAATATAACCCCTAGCCACTGCAAAAAAAATATAATTAAAAAAAATAAAATTTTGATTTTACTATTTTTCGTGCACAGTGTAAGGAAAATCCCAATGTCAGCTAAACATGCCTTTAAAACAGTATTTCATTGTAGCTTATGTTGCTTTGTCAGTTTCACAAAAATATTATTATACCTTTGCAGAGGGTATTATAATTTTGTCCAAAAGTGTGCAACGCAGTGAAGGAGACATCTCCGACCCTATAAAGTATATATATTCTTGATCAGGATCACCTCCTGAGTTGATATGAGCATGTCCGTCTGTCCGTCTGTCCGTCTGTCCGTCTGACCGTCTGTCCGTCTGTCTGTTTCTACGCAAACTAGTCTCTCAGTTTTGAAGCTATCGACTTGAAACTTTGCACACACCCTTCTTCCCTTTGCACGCAGTATATAAGTCGGAACGGTCCGGATCGGCCGACTATATCCTATAACTGCCATATAACTGATTGATCGGAAATGGTATAACTTTAGTGTTTTTAAAGTTAGAGAGTTCAACTTTGACATGAGAGCTATTTTTGGCAAAACATTACGACATGCCAAATTTCATAAGGATCGGCCGACTATATCTTATAGCTGCCATATAACTGAACGATCGGAAATGACCCAACTTTCGTGTTTTTGAAGATAGAAAGCTGTAACTTAGTACTGATTATATTTTTGGTCAGATAATCCGACCTACTCAATTTCATAAGGATCGGCCAACTATAGCTGCCATATAACTGAACGATCGAAAATGTTTTTTGGTAGAAATACCAACTTTGGTATTTTTGAAGATAGAAGTTTGGGACTTTTTTTTAGATTTTTTATTGTAATAAATTGGTTTTATTATGATGTAATCATAAGGATCGGCAAACTATATCCGATGTTTGCGATATTTATCCGGTTTTAACTGCAAGGGTATATCAACTTCGGCTCCGCCCGAAGTTAGCTTTGCTTTCTTGTTTGAATTGCATTTGAGAAAGTTCTTTCGCCAAACCTTAATATCTGCGGAAGAGTATGTCCAAAGGGTGTATGGAAGTAACAATGGAAAGCGAGTAACTGAAACTATCGTAAACGGAAACGCCTGGAATTAAAAGGTGGTGTAGGTGGTGCACACCTAACAATGTTAGATCCCCAAAATGGCAGCCATCACCGTGAAATTTCAGTTTCCAACTTGGCTACAATTGATTTCATTCGACTGTGTGCGTGCGGAAAAAAGTTTTGTTCGCGGGCTACAAGAAGATTGGCATGTCTAGGCGCCACTACGCCCAGGTTAAAGGTTACCATACACCTGCGTGTACCCGCCGTCAAAAGATATTCCTTTGGGTGAATCGCACGGAGTTGGTACGGAAGGGCTAAGCCAGAATATGTTCGCCTCAAGGCTTCGACCTTAATCGATTTTTGATACAAAGAGCATATACATATAGCTGAAGTAAAGCTCCTTGATGTCCAAAATGTGTTAATAAATAATATATTTTCGTTCAGGACTGTGGACTATATTTGTCATATATATTTATTACCTAAATAGTTTCCGTCTTACATAAAAAAAGTTAACAGAGTTTACTTACTTTACTTAATATTTTATGCATCATTCTTCAGCTTAGAATCTGTGATAAAATCTACAGCAGAATTTGTTGTAACACACTTTTTTTCTACTTTTTTAAATCGCCTTAACACATTTTTCTTGAAGACTGGGAAGTTCTGACAAATCACAAATTGGCTGACAAATCAATCCATCAATTCAGTTTGAAACTGAGGGGGGACTACATAAGAAAAGACTACATCATTCTCACAGAAGATTGATATGAAAAGAATCAAAGTTATTGGATTGACATTCGAAACAAGGTTGGTTTGGTTTTGGGGGTCTTATGAAGCTAATCCAGCTATTAAATGGCTCACATTTTCTTTGTTTTTGGCAAAGAATTTCCGTGGGGCGGCTTTCTGGCATACCATTCAAGGGCAGTTTTAATTTTCATATGAGTATCGCAGAAATGTATATCCCTGGTGGTCGTATCAATTACCTTGAAAGTAAATAAGCGGCTCCGTTTCCGAGAAATACTCTTTACGAAAGATAAAAAATAAAACGGTTACTTTCCAAATGCATTGAAAGTGTCTGAAAAGAAAAATAATTATTAGTTAAATTGTTAGATTTCGAACATAATAACAATAACATAATGAATGCTTATAATTAAAACATATGCTACACCACAAAAAAAAACCCACTGAAAATTGGATGGAGCTTCCCATGAACCATGTTTCATGCCTAAACGGACTAGGGCGGATTCATTAGAAAGTAAGTCTTCCGCAATCTACCAAACCCCACAGAAACATTTGTGGATCAAAATTGGCCACCCCTTTCCGGATGGAGAACTTCTGTTCTAACGGCGTGTTCTAACGGCTTCTTTAATCGACGGGAAGCTTTCGAAGTGCATCGTCAAGTCCTTACGGCCGAGTTTCGGGGCCGGAGGTGAGGTGATAATATTGTTGATGGAAAAAGTTGTTGATTTCGGCTTTTTATGAGCTCACATCGAGTTATTTGTGCAGAAATTCTGCATTCTCCGACAAAATAATGAAGCAACTACATTAGCAAATAATTCGGCCAACGAAAGTACTCGGAAGTGGGCCAGCAAACTTTCTGCTGGAGAATTGCTTTACATTCAATTACACGGGCCAACGAATGGAAACATATTCTTTTATTTGCGATTTAGGACTCGTTCCTGGTGTGCTGAACACAGTCTTATTCCCGGACCTGGGTCCTTACGTCAGGTTTTATTGCTATGGGTCGCCAAAGATGTCTTTCCACTTATGTTTTGACGCGTTTATCTGAAGTGCCTAGTTTGCGCAGCAACATACAATAATTTTTGTATGCAGCATAATTTTACGAACCTGATCCTGACCAAGACCATGTACGCTTTATTGGGTCGGGAGCCGAAACAATTTAATTAAAATAAACGAAGCAATAAAATGTTCAAGCTGTTTTTGAGGCAACACTTTATTTAAATTCGCCATAAGTCTATTTTCGACATATTACACCCGCACCTCTCGGGCCGAGACCCACACACATTTTTCTGCACGGCCCGAAGCCATCGGAGGGAATTATGACCCTATGGGCGAGCTCGGATAGATGGCAATCTGAGTTGGGTTAAATCCAGCTCCGTGTTGGCGCCAGTCATTGATTTTTGTGCCAGTTTTTATTTTTGCGATTTAATCAAGCGAACCCAGCGGCTGCGTAATCCCTCGGCCATTAAAATAGCGTGCGAGCCTCGAAGAACCAGGAGGAGTCGAGCTGGGAGTGGATATGAAGGTGGATGTGGGGGTGGAAAAAGCCTTGTTTTGCCACACAACGTTCCAATTAATAAAAGAAACTAAATTAATGTAAATCGCGCTCCATAGCCTTTTTATAGGTGCTGTGCTTTCGGAATAAGGAGTCTCAAGTAAGTTAGAGTTGGTTAAAAAGGAGCAGTTCACACGTTTTGTAACATTTGTTTCCCTTCTTGTTTCCTAGGGTTGCAGGGCCGTTTGAAAGACATGTTTAGAGTTTTCAGTTGAGGAACAAAATGTTTACAAGCATCTGAGGCTGAGAGGAAAAGGGTTATCGTATTATGAGGGCATACGTTGTGGATCAATCACACTTAAATGTATGTATGTAAATTATAATTAAATGAAGTTCTACTTAGAGTCTCAATCATCATTTGGATTATTGGATGAAAATATGCGAACAGGATCCACTCTTATATGTTACAGCTTCAGTTTAAGTTAGAAAATTCATCTTTTGAGTGTTTTTGGCCACAAAGTACAAGTGCGGCAGGAATTAATTAAAGAAGCGACAAGGACAGGCACATGTCGCTGCTTCTGGTGCCTTTTGTTTTAAAGGGTTTGAAGTGTCACTGGATGGGGTTTTGCGACTGTTTTGTTCGCAACCAGCCACAAAAGTGGCGGAATGATAAATCTTTAAGCAGTCGTTGAACGTCTGACTTCGCTCGGAAGGCAATTTAATTTATTTGATTTCTCATGGAAGAGCCAAGCAGAAACGGAACAGAAACAAGAACAATGCTAGTGACCGGCAGCCATCATGTTACTGCGGAGTTTTAGGGCTTGTTGCTATCCGTAGCATAAAGCATGCCAGTTAGACTCCACGTACACCCCAAATATATAATTATAATGGAATTTTGCCAAAATGTTTCCCAAACAAATACAAGCACACTTTCGTCTGTCTGTAGGGGAGGGGAATAGAAAAGGTGTGTAGTGGCGTGTGCCGTGGAATGAAGCGAAGTGATTGCGGCTGCAGCTGCATGCCCCGAATGCAACACGAGGCATTGAACGTGTGCCAAACTTTTGCTAGGAGGCCACTGGCAGGACGCAGTCCAACATAATAGCACTGATAGTGAGGTGGGCTCCATTGCCAGGCGCGCTGCTACAACCACATACGGCAGCACGGGCAGGACCAACAACAACACCTGAGCCGTCATTTGTAAAGCCATCAATTTTTACCCGTTTTTGTGAATCTATAGAAACGAATGGGAAGGACAATATTTTCCTATCATTTTCGTGCCCATTATACCAATTCCGTGGCTCTCAGTCCAACGTGAGAGCCATAGCTGCTAGGATCCACCTTGAAGCCACTCGCCTTTCGAGTGGCATGTAGCTGTTCTATTTAACGCTGAGAAGGATTTAACTTTTCAGAAACTTTTCTATTAAGAAGGTTCAAACAGTTTCTGAGTGTATCTAAACCTATATCTAAACATAAAGGCCTTAAAAGCGCATTAGAACCGGGAGCAACTCGACCAGGACACGACAGGAATATTCGACATCCGATCACGAGGAAAACCAGACCACAAATATTTACAGAAATTAATTGGATTACTAGGTCATTCATTACAAACCATTTTAGAGAAGCAGCTAGTGGTAGGAAAATAATCAATTTTGAGCTTAGGGCTAACTAGGGCTTATCTTACGACATAAGGACGGGGAAATAAGATTGCGAATATAAAAATAAAGACCCTGGGAGAACGTGAGCATGGGTCCAATTTTTAACTTCCACTTTTTAGTAAGCTTTTCGGCATTCCATCTGTCCGCGTGATTTCGATACATTAGGGTTCTCTGACATATCAAACCAAAACCTCGACGGAGTCCGGTCGGAGTGCTTTACGGCCAAAATCGCCGGAAAACGTGGCTGGCCCACATAAGAGACTGCTTCCAGACTCCCCACTTCAGATTTTCGCTGCCAGGCCAGCTGCCTTGTTTTCGAGATGCGCTGCTTGTATGCTAGATACTTGAACTGATGGGATGTTGGGATGCCTGGATGTACTTTAGTGCTTGTGAGTTGATGTTGCCAGATGTTGGACGTGGACGTGGTCATGTCATGGGGGCGCAGCCTAAGGAGTGCCGGGCCGGGCTAGGGAAAGGTTGGCACCCCAACACTTGGTCATAACAGACAATGGGTTATATGCCGGGCTGGAAGTAGTGGATCTCGGAGGGCAGCGCCATGGGAACAGGACATAATGCAAACGTCGCAGAGTTGCCGCTGTCGTTGCTGCTGTTCTTGCTCTTGCTCTTGCTGTTTGCGTTTCTTTTCCCGTTGTTCTGGGCAACACAGAAATTGCATTTTGAAAAATGTTGCATATCATAAATAAATGTAAACGCAAATAAATCAGCTTTGTTGACGTTTGTCAGTTTCTATACCCTTGCAGAGGGCATTGACATTTTGTCCGAAAGTCACACAAAACAGAAGACATCGTTGCATAAGGTATGTACATATAATCTTGATCGGGAGCCTGCTTCACCTTCCTAACCGCTTGCTTGCCTGCTCTTAGAATCTAAAAGTTAGTAATGCAGCTAGAACACTTCCCAGTATATTTTCATGTATGCCGTTTAGTTGGAGCTGCTGACATTCAGATACCAGCTTGGGGCTTCCATTATAATGGCTTCCATACATATAAAATATGTATACTCTCATCATATAAAGGCAAGGGTGTATAAGATTCGACTTCGCCCGAAGGCAGCTTTCTTTCCCTGTTTTTTAAGCGTTCATGTTTCTGTTTCTTTCTCTGTTTCTGTTTTTGTTTCTGTTTTCATTTATGTTCCTGCTATTGCTGTTACTGTATATTTTCTGTTTCCTCGTCTTTTTCTGTTTCTGCAGCTTCACTACTGTGTGCAGTGTGCAGTTTCGATGTTTTCGTCTCCCTGTCGTAGCAACCGTTGGCTTGTTTCGCCTTCATCTTTTAGACGTCTACACTGGAAATGTCAAGCACACTTGCCCGATCTGCCACGCCCAACCTCCACTCCTTCTGTCATCCGAGCTCCTCGGCGCCCCTGCCTCGGCTCCTGTCCCGATGCACTGAGTGCTCCTTAATGCTTCAGCTGTGTTGACTGACAAAATGCTTCTAACTGCACATTATTGCTCACATGGCGAGCAAGCAGCGACTGATGCGGGAGGCAGGAGACAGGAGGGTAGGGGGAGCTCTGACAATAAGCCAACGACAAGAGCTCCTAGATGAACATGAACGCAATTCGCTCTGCAGCACTTCGGGTCTGTTCAGAAAGTTTTAAAAGCAACGCAAGTCGGGCGAGCTGAGCCAAAAACTGATTATCTCGCAAAGTCATCTGAAATATATGTAAGCACACCACAAAAAGAGTCTTGAAATACCTGCTTCCAGGGCCTTACGTTTCAATTAAGGCCTTATCGATGCGACGGTTACTAGACTTCAGATAGACGAAACAACGAAAGGTAGAAGCTTCTTGCGCTCCTCTCCGTTCATTGAATCCGACTTGGACTGGCAGTACTGAGTCAACATGTTTATTTTTGGTTTTTCCGTACTTAGTAGATAGTTTGACCGGCCTGATATAGCAGCCGCCTAACGGGTGGGGTCAGAGTCTATTGAGGCATCTGTCGCGAGGCAGCAGTTGGGCATTAGCTTAAGTCATAAATCCGAGCGTATAGAATGCCCAAACACACTGATCACGACGCCTCAATCAAATAAAAATTTAAGTTGTGAGCTCCGAGAGGGCGAGTCAGGCAGTGGGTTATATTTCACGATCCCAGGAAAACATTTATTCCGCAATATTTTGTACTTAGGCCACCTGATAAGAAAAAAAAACAAAAGCCGCAAATGG